TGGGTCATGACCTATGGTGGGTTGGGCCGGGTCAGCCCGCGGGTTGACTCGACCCACACCCAACTCTAACTGAAATAGATACCTAAAGAAATTATTAGAAACATTTATCTTTCTGTAATAAAAATATTTATAGCAAAATTCATTAAAGGGGCAACGACATATTCAAGATTTTTGCAAAGTGGGGTCACTAAATAATTAATATTAAAATTTTACTAAATGCTTCTAACGATCTTCATATTTTGAAAAACGTATATAAGTAAGTGCAACAATAATAACACTATCAATACATCTTTCTCAATATAAACCACTGGGCAATCATCTTTTTCTTACCCAAATTTAGTTTCATTTTCCCCTCCTCTCTTTTCATACAGTCCGAAATTTTATTCCGTAAATATTGTTAAGTCTCACATACTACAACATGACAACCTTTCAGTTATCGAATCAAAAGCTTTTTCCATTATGCATGAGACGCTGGCTATCATCTGGTAGATACTTACACAATTTATGAAGCGTCCAATATAAAATTGTTGAAATCATTCTATACATATTTGGTTGGGATCCTAAAGCAAAGTGGGTAGGGGTGAGCACGGTTCGGTCCAAACCGAAAAAACTGATCGAATCGAACCGAAATCAATAGTTTGGTTCGGTTTTACTTGTATGGCAGTTCGGGTCGGGTTGAAATCTTTTCAACCCGAAATAACCGAACCGACCGATAATAACACCCCAGACTCCAGAGGCAGAGACCCGACCCGTGAATCCCAAGTCACATTTCATTTTCTTCACCTAAACGGCTAAACCCTAGATCTCATTCCTAATTTCAGATGTTATCTATTTGTTTCAATTTTTTGTAAATGGCTTATCAAATCATATTTGATAAGAATATAATTAATGGAGATGAATAATCACTTGATATTTTCTACAACTTTTTGTTATAGCATCTGATGAATAATGGTCTGGTTTTGTTTGAAATTCTGCGACGTGGTTGATGACCTGATTTCTGTTGACAATAACATCATATTGGATGGTCTTCCATTTAAGAAAAATGCAGCTGAAGTGCTTGTATAATCACTTGATATTTTCTACATGTTTCAGTCTATTTTGCAAGTTTTCCATTACCAAATCAACTGTCTAGTCCTTGTGTATGTCAAGCTAATGTTAAGAGTACATCAACAACACCAGAGTTTACCATTTATCTGTATTTGTTTTTCTTTCAGTAAATATGGCTTCTGAAACAAATAGATAATAATCAGGTTATGAACAATAGATGACATCTGAATCAAATATTTACAAAATCTGAATCAAATATTTACTGGAAGCTCTTCTGGCTGAAGCTCTACAGCTGTATTTGTATTTGTTTCTCTTTTGTCAATGCTAGAAGCTCTACTGGCTGAAGCTCTTCAGCTGCATTTTTCTTAAATGGAGACGAAGATGAAGACGAAATGCACTTACAAAAAAATCACTTGATATTTTATCTTCAGCTGAAACATGTAGAAAATCTGAAAGAAAAACAAATGCACTTGATGAAGCTGAAACATTTAAGAAATATCAAGTGATGAATAATGGCTAGACCATCCAGCTGCATTTTTCTTAAGAATCTGAAACATTTAAGAAATATCAAGATGAAGACGAAACGCACTTTGATTTGCCTAAGGGGAGCATTAATTATACTTGATGCCTTTTTTCTTGGGACAAGCAATATTTGTGCCTTTGATTGTTATACTTGATGAAGTTAGAACCGAACAAACCGAACCGAACCGCACCGAACCGATTTGCAACGGTTCGGTTCGGTTTTGAATTATAGGTGGTTCGGTTCGGTTGTTCAAATTTTGGTAAAAACCGACCCGAACCGAACCGTGCTCACCCCTAAAAGTGGGGTCACTTGATCCCACTTTGACTAGCATGGATCCACCAGCGCAAAGAGGTAATGATATAGTTACTATTGCTTTTAAAATACTCTCACATAACGAAAGAAAAAAAAGTGCGGGCTCCATCATCTATAACTTTTCTCGAAATTGATGACTCATTATAGAACACAATTTTCTCTTTTATAATATGGGAATAGTTTAGAAAAATACAGTAGAGCTAGCATTGTAATGAGCACGACGAACACATGTTTAAAGGGATTGCCAAACGAGAACCGCATGGCATCATCTGGACTCAATTTAAAGGATCTTGCAAAACTCAAGCTAATATAAAACAACCGGTATGATACTAGTTACTCGCTGTCATTGATCTGTTAAGATCTGAACTAGCACGGCGAGATAATCGAGAATTTGCATACAAGTTTCTGCAATAATACAATACTAGTGTGAACACCGTATAAAGCACGACATTTTTCCCCCGCTATAGTAATCCCGTATGGTACAGTAATATTTTTTTGGAAAAAACTATGTGTCCAGTTTCATGTTTGCTACAATAATAATGCTACTGTACCATTTACTGTAGCATGAATAGTAATTATTAGGTTCTCCCGTTTGTATAGAAGAATAGATACGTATACTAAATAATGTTAATGCCATTTTCGCCACATTATTATACTAACCACTGGTAAATTTCCAAGATGACACAATAAAAACTGAAAACATGTAAATACCTCAAACAGAATGCAGAAGTCTGCTACACAAATACCAGCAAATTTCACGGTTTCTATATAATAGATGAAAGAATCTACCCACCACAACTGACGGCGAGTGACTCTAGTTAGTAGGTTCATATATTGACTCCCACAACCTTGGGTTCGATCCCAGATGGGTTATAAAAAATAAATTAAAAAAAAAATCTACCACCACAATTAGGTAACTCGAGTAGGATTCACACGGAAAATATAATGAAGTCTCATCCAAGCGATCCTTCAGGCCGAATCAAATCCACATTAGCTCCCTGAATAATGAAACGAACATTCAAAGACACAACAATCTCAAGTTTCCATTCCATCGCATCAAAAAGATTCCCAAGTCAGCAGAGTTTCAAAACATCAACTCAGATAATTGTTGCGGTATGAAAAATGAATAAGCGGAATTAAACCGCATGCATTACAAAAAGAGGCTTCACTGCTTCCTTTAATTTCATTTCACGTACAAGATGCTAAAATATAATACCAAATATATCCTGGCTGCAGGAATTAATATTTAATAGTGTTGCCCCTTCACATCGCAATCATTTATGGATAACAAAATAAAAGTGCATACGACCCACAAATAGTTCAACAAGAAATTTTGCTCCAACAGTATCCACAAAGACCATAATCTCTTTCTGTCTATCCAACAAAATATAATAACAATAATCTCATAGCAAGAAAAAATTCAAATCTCTTGTTAGTGATCTAGTACAATCTTCTTACTAGAGAGTAACAACATGAAAGCAGCCAGAATTTTTGGCAAGCCCAGTGTTTAGCATCAAAAGCTAACATAGAAGTCGCACATCACAGTTCCTGTTCATTCCTGATGCTGAAGTTAAAGAATCACAGTGCACATTCTCTTAGGAATGAAAAGCAAGGATTAGAAACATGCAAACATCATACATAATTGAAAAAAGGAAATCTATTTTCATATGTATTTCTTTCCCCAAAAGAATGGGGATGAGAGCACATTGGATGGATAAAAAAAAACTCTGGTTTTCACACACCAGAAAAGTAACCCCAGTTGCATGCACATTGTCATAAATATGTTGGGAGCAAACCTAAAACCAAGGCATCTCTTCTATTGCCTACACTTTCACGGCAAAAAGTGAAGTATTTTCCTTTCAATTCCATTATTAGCCATCTGCCCAATCCTGCAAGAAACAGAAAGATGAAGAACAATGCTGCAGACTAACAAATTGTGTGAACTATTTGTGCTAAAACTATAAACAATTTTGACAACGAGGTTTACTAATTAGACATGCTCAACAAAACTAGTCCAGTATATAAGAATCAAAACTCATGGCCATAAAAATAAATAAAAGAACAGAAATAAAAGATATTTTTTGCAATTAAAAATGGAACAGTTTATAGTCAGAAGGTTTTACCATTGTGGCATCAGCAGCCACATCTGCTGCACTCAATAGACACTTGGCATGCACAATAGGAGCATGATCTTTGATCCCATCATCTTTTCTTATTTCATCTTCTCTTTCTGAGGAATTCAAATACACTGTTCCTTTGTACATCCACTCATCTCTCTCATGGGAATAGAAGTCTTCAAATGGTTCTCCACACAGTGCACATATGTACTGACTTTCATCTGCAGGCACCATTGGTTCACATCTTTCATCTACCAAAGAAGTACTGGGCACTGGTATCTGTGGCAATTCAATTTTTCCAGTAACCCAATTACTTGTATCTAAATACCATTTCCGAGATAATTCACCAGAACTGCTCGGTTCAGACTTTTCTGAGGAATGTAAATCTGAATGAGTGTGAAGCTGTTCTTGAAGCTTGAATCTTAGGCCACACGTATCACACTGATGCTTTAACTCATCAAACAGACTATTAATTACCTGGGGATGGAGTTCACGAATTATTTCTGGCTTGAAGTCAATGCCTACAAGTTCTTCAATTTCTGTATCATAAATTGCTAATGGGGCAACGCCAGTAGGAGCAGATAACTCCACTACAGAAGCCTCTTTTGCTGAAGTTGATGGAACTTGCATGGAGGTACTACTAGAAAACTCAATTCTCTGATCTTGAACTTTATTTGATAATTGAGACGAAGATACAGTAGGCATTTCCGTTGCTGGAGAAGATATTAAACCCTTCTCGACTAATGAGCTAAGAAGGCTTGAAAGTGGATTTGAAACAGCACTAACAGTGCTGGATTTTTGGGGTACAACAGAAGAAGAAGGTGGAGGGCCTGGTGGCAGCGGAGGCAACACAACACCTGGAAGTGATGCTGTAAGAGATGGAGTATTAGCTTGGGAAGATTGAAGTGACAACGATGAAGAAGTAACCAACGGACCAGATGGTGTCAAAGCTTGAATAGGTGGGGGCCCGCTTGGTAGAGGAGGCTGTATATTGAAGTTTTGCAATCCAGTGGGAGAACTGTTTGAAAGGAGTCCAGTCTTCATGATAGCAGCCAGTAAACTACTAGTGCTTGATTGCCCTGAGCCATCAGCTAAATTGGATAATGTTGTGGATTTCTCGGAACGAATTGATGGCTGAGAGTGTGTTTGGGCCTGTTGTTGTGAGAACTCGGGTTGTGATTGGTGCATAAGGGGAGGATGGTACCTAGACTGTGTAAATGGGGTTGATGAAAGTTGAGGGGATTGTGATTGATGTCGCTGTAAACTAGGAGAAAAATCTTGGGTGATCGGTACATGTGGAGCTCTATTAAGATTTACTGGAAGCTGCATAGGTTTCTGACTCATTTGGGGAAATGGAGGCCGAGGATGTTCATGGTCAATTGCATTGTGTAATTTCTGATGCTGTAGGGGCTGAAAAGGTGGAGGTGGATGAGCAGAAGGTGATGGAGGCTTCAAAGGTTGATGGCCAACTATTCCACTTGTCAAATTTGGAGAAGGGCCTAGGCTTGAAGGGTGAGAATGGGATAGAAGTCCAGACCTAGGTAAAGGTGAAATTAAATTGGGAGATGTACCAGAGCTAAGAGATATGGAACCACCCTCTTCTTGACTTGAAATTCTTGAACTCAGCTGATTTAGGCCACCAGAAAAAGGGTCGGGCGGGGGCCAAACTGACGTTGAATGATGCCCTGATGTAGCTCGTGGTACAGATAGCATATCTGCAGAGGTCTCCAAATGTCTTCTTGAGTCAGCATACAATTGACTGTGAGGTTGCAGATGGTTATCATCAATATTCTGCATGAGCCCAAAAGTTAATCAGCAGAATGTAGCAGTAAACAATAAAGCCATAGTCAGACTGAAAACTGTCCCCCACCCTCCCCAACCATGTGTGTGTGTGCACGCGCGCGCGCATGTGCGTGTGTATAACTGTGTGTACACACACACACACACATATGCACAGTTTGGTGACACATGATTTCATATTTTTCTCAATTTTCAGAAATTTGTTCAGAATTTTCGGCAAAGGACCATTTTTAGTAGTGCACGAAGCATGTAAAAATCCAAGTAAGCAGTCTCTCATGCAAGCACAAAACCAAATTAGTAAATGATTTCTGTAAAAGAAATATTTAGCAGCAGTTTATAAGGAATTACTCTAAATGAAGGAACTCTTTCTTCTACTCCGCAGCGCTTTATTCCTGGAAAAACGTCAAGTTTGTCCCGATGGTAATCTGGCTGCTCATTCTTGAGTTGAGCCCACTGGTGCCTTTGCAGGCTAGCACGTGTATCTGCCTTACCGATATCCAAACCACCTTTTATTGACCTGCTATTTCCTCCATGATCTGTCAATTTGGGATCCATATCATCCCACATGTACTCTTCCTCCTCAGAATTCTTCCAGTTTTTAGATACTGCTTGAATGCTTTTATTCGTATTATTAAGGTGTACAGAAGGTAGCTGACGTTCAGCTTGAGCAAATGTAGATCCTCGATAATTATTAACATCAAAACCGTTCCTTCTGCTGATTACAGTCTCAGAAGTATTATATGATTTGTCAAGCTCATCTTGCTCTTTGTTCTTCTCACTGATTCTTCCAACTTCCGTAGCTGGTTGTCGTGGAAGTACAGAAGAAAATGGTCGGTCTTTGACGTCCCTCAGTCCTTTCTTCTCATAGATGGGATCATTTGTCAGTTCCCTTTGAGTCCGTTGAATATTCTGCAAGCAATATTAACCAAAAGTTAGAAGGGAGAACTCGGACAATTTATAAGCTATTTGAGATTATGACCTCCGAGGTAGTTTCTTCAACAAAAGTAAACAGAAAGAAAAGAATGCGTACAGGCATCTTGGTAGGCAGATCCCTCCATTGTCTTATGTTTGCAGTTGTAGCTGCTTTATCTGATCTCTCTGCATCTTCAACAGCGGCAACCACGTCAACCTCATCACTGTTTATTTCTTTAGACTTCACAATTTAACCAACAACCAGTAAGAAAATATATACATTAATACATATAAAGTGGCACAAACAATTCTCAAAAAGTAACATTAACATATAAGTTATCACAGCTAACATCAGAAACAGGAAGAAAGTAAAAGGTGTCATAAAACAAATTTTAGCTGGGTTTCAAATTAATGACGTAATTAATTGTTAATTAATCACTAATTGTAAAACCTGGCCTCCTTCATGTTACAACAAGTAATCACAAGATATTCTGTTTCAATGTGACTCAGATTGTATGACAGCAAGCTAGTTTCTACATATGTTACTTTCTAATGTTTAAGATGATAGTTAGGAATAAGGTTGGGCTAATAATCAGTGGTAATCTGTGTTTTTGATGAATGCGTAAAAGAAAAAGATTAGTCTCAAAACTATAACTTCTGTTCACATTCAATTATGAACTGTTCCAACTAAACACTGAATTTTCTTAGTGAAAATGCGATAAGCTGCTCTCACAATGGTGCAATTGGAATAAATTATTACTTAACTTCTAAGCTAGTGATCATACCTTAAACTTTTTGTGCCAAACAAAATTTATATTTTCTGTAAAGAATGAAGCAAAATAAATGTGGTGCATTAAGTCACAGAAGTTTACTTACTCTTGTTTGCTGAAGGCGCTGCCTTGCCTCTAAATATTTAGGATTCACATGAATGCTGTGCCCTGGACGTTGAGTTTGAGATTCTGACTTTGACGCAGTGGTTCCAGATGAGCCATTGACGGCAGGTGGGAAGCCAAGTTCTTTCTCAATTGTCTGAAGGGGAGCAGGAGGAAAAACTCCTCTCCATGTACCAAAAAGATGTCTCATTCCAGGATGTATTGAAGAATCAACTTGTTTGTACGCCTTGCAGAATACCTAATAAGAAATTACAAACAGTATAAAGATTAAGAAAGAAAAGGACAAGAAAGAACAAAAGAAGCCAATGAATGGCACAAGAAGTGGAGATCGATGGACCCCCTTTTAACAATTTAAGAAGCACAAGCCAAGATATAAATTGAGAATTCTGTACAATCAACATCAGAAGGGAATTACTATGCCTAAAATACTATGAGAAATCATTGGTCGATCTATAGTTCTAAAGATGGTTGAGAAATTACAAATCATCTTTCGGATGATAACTTAATGAAATAAAAATGAGGTTTCCATAACAATTATATCAAGATAAACACATTCTGTTAGCATAAAAATCGACAAATTTACCTCAGGCAACCTTGCAGCAAAGTACTTAATATAAATACTGTCAAGAAGATAAAGAGATGGCAGCTTTTGGTCACTGGGAACCTGGAACCAAGAGTAAAATCAGTTGTGGATGTAACATAACTACGATGGTTCACAAGAACAAAGTAGCAAAGCCAAAGATCAGGATTCCCTATATATAAACTACTTCAAGAAAGACAGAAGACAAGTAACAACTCAAATTACTTGATATATCATCCATTGTAAAGGTTCTGAGCTAAGAAATAAAGAATGAAATGAATGAATTGGCATCAAAATGGGTGCTTCCAGGGAGAAATTGCTAATTCTCCACTTATCGCACTCAGAAACAGAAAAGGTTAAAATTCATAAGATAATCAAAGAAAGAACATATATGCAATGTCTTAGAACACCAACATTAGTTAAGTCCATTGAAGCCGCTTCCACCTGTCTTAACATCTAGGCAGAATGAGTAGGCCCTTGGAAAAACCAGACATCCTTGATTTGTGCTTCCTATGAATCCCAAATATGTGACCGGCAGGGTTTTATACTTTATTATAGGGGTTTCGGGTGCCATTAGGAGTACAGGTTTATAGATAGTGCTTAATATCTGGTTAAGGATACAGATACTGAGCCGGCATTTTTTTCCCACTCTTCCACTCTCATTTTGAGAGGAAATATGACATCATATGATAGTAAATCTTAAATCAATAAGTTTTTAAGTATATCCTTGTACATGTTTATTTCTGATACATAGCTGCTCCCATTATCATCAAGAAAAAACTATGCAAAATAGATTATGGGAAAGCCACTACCTTCTGAAAGGAACAGCTTCTAAAGTGAAAAAACACATTCTAACTAACCTATTATCTAAAAGAAATCAAAATACACAGCAGAATTTCTTTTAGAAAAGATCTCCAGGTTACATGATCTAGTTATGTCATGATTACAAGTCTCATTGAATATCGATTTCCATCCAGCAGCATCCACTTACTGGATCATCTTAATTGAATACAATTGTTCATTGCAAAAACCGAAATTTGCACTCTTCTGTCCATTTAAACGCTAAGATAACTTGCAATTTAGCATTGGCCTCAGTTGTGCATTACAAAACTGAACTTTGTTCGTGAAACCAATCATTTAAACTTGCAAAACAAATCATACTCCCTTATTAGAGACCTCAAACCAACTCATATTATAAACTACACAAGAATTCCTCAGAACTAATCAATCGCAGACCAAACAACAACAAAAACTATACAACAAACAGCAGTCAATCCCAAAAGCTCATAGTAAAATTGGATCTTTCATTCACTAACTAATTCCAATTTACATTAACTACAGCACAAAGTCTAATCTAATCACCTCAAGCACATTATTGCAGATTGTGGCCGCGATCCCCTTTGCAGCGTGGAGATTCTCTCCAGCTATTATTGTTAGATTAGTAATAATAGGCTTCGAATTGATGGTCAATTCAGAAAGCGCCGTCTTATATTGAGCAACTAACTCCTGTTGCTGCTGATAAGAAGAAGACAATGAAGAAGAAGAAGAAGAAACCCTAACTGAATCATCTCTCTCCTCTCTCTCCCTCTCGTTTGCCCTAATTCTCGGATTCGTCGGCTGGATCGAGCTCGAAACCCTAGAAGCGACGCCGTCAGCGAGCCTAGGTTTCTTGAGACCGGGCAATTCTCGAGATCTGTCGATCGAAGATCTACGAGAGCTCTCCATCTCCATCCCGCCAAAACCCTAACCCTAATATCGAACAGGACGAGGGTAGAAAAGAGGCTTTTGATGAGGGAATTCGAATCGGGGACGCATCGAGAAACGAAACCCTAGATTTTAAGAGTTCGCACGAGAGTCGGGGGAGAGAGAGGAGGGCGACTTTGAAGATGGGATGCCGAGGTTAGTTTTGTAATTTGGGGGAAAGTTGAGGTTGTTTCCAGTGTGAAGAAGATGGAGGCTGAAGAAGCCGACGGAGATTTTTTTATTTTTCTAACTCATTTTATTGAAAAATTTTGATATCATGGGTTGGATTATATAGTGTCGGAGATTAGGGTATGGTTTCAGTTTTATTTAGGTTTTTGAAATCTGAATGCCCCGAGTTGGTATGGAAATAACAAGACAGCCACTGGTGTGCCATAAATAAAGGGCTTTGTATTGGGCATGTCAATAGGTTTGTGTTGGGCTTTCCCTTGAGAGGCATGCTTGGTCTTGCGAGCAGGCCTTGGGCATGTAATACGGCTAAAGTTCCCTTTAAAATAAATTAAAAAAAAAGTATTAGTAAGAGTCTAGTAAACACGGAAATAATCTAATACATATAAATAAATTTGGTTATTCAAGATTTGACAGATTATTCAAATTTTAGCTGGAATATTAACGGTTGTTTGGTTCATGGATTAGTTTTGATGCATGTCACGAATATAAAAAAATCCACATTCATAATCTTAGTTGTTTGCATGCATATTGAAGAGGATTTGAGGAATGACAAATCCAAGTAATATTCTTGCTCGGTAGAACATGAATTTGTTGAGGATAATATGATATAATAT